TCCAATTTGGTTGAACGGAATTCATCCAGAAAATGAAGGGGAAAATGTGGTTCGCCAAGCATGCGTCCATTTCCTTGGTGACGGTTGTTGGGAGCGGTTCGATATCAACATAACGAACTGTGGCGATTATTTCGTTTACTACCTTAGGCCACCCTTCTACTGTGCAATCGCCTACTGCGCTGGTGAGAAATGTGTTATTATTATTTTTTCTTTGTGTGTCTCCCGATTTGCTTGTTCGTTTCATTTGACCCTAGTATTTGCTTTTGTAGGTGACAAAGAACCATGCCCTTATGGGAAGGAGGGAGTATTTTCTGATTGTTATGGTATGTTCTGGTTGTAAAAAATGCTAATGATTATTTAGGTAACCCTACAAGAATTAGACACAACAGGTAGAAAACTGAAACCATACTGTTACGTTACTAGCTTTTAAGACCTGACACTTAATTTCAAAGGTTAGTTACCAAGAGAGAAGCCTACGAAACATAATGACTAAACTGAAAGCAAACCGGTATAATGTGTAGTGTGTTCTTTACGATTCTTATAGCTGGTTCATGTCTCGTGCACATTGTACTAAGCATGCTCTCACAACCGCTTATTAGCGTTTTCTCCCAAGTCAATTTCTCAGTTTGCAAAATCCACTTCTTCTTGAATATCGACACGGAAACAGCTAAAGATCTCTCCGATTATTTGAGACTTTTTACCGGAATTTTGACCGGAATTTTGACCGGATATCGAATATTCAGAATTACCTTTGAGGTAATCCACTTATCTGGGTCGAATTTGTTCGATCAAAATTTATTTAACAAATAATGTAACAAATAAAGAAGTCTAAGCCGTGAATTACACTGTGGTAAAACACGACGGGCATTTGAGAACACGAGGGAAATGCAGAAAACACGAGCCGCAGGCGAGTGTTTTCAACGCGACTTCTCGACTGTTTTCGCATTTTATTCTTCTTTATTTGTTAAGTTAACCTCGTCTTCAAAACTTTCTGATGCTTCGCAGAGAACTCCATCACAAATTTCTTTAAAGAAAATGTTTTTCGCCATCTCCAACAAAAATGTTGACAGTTGACTACTGTATTTGTCTAGACCCACCACAGACTTTTTCAAGTGAAAATCTTGGCGATCCTGAGATTTCCTTCATTCCGGTTGAGGAACACGTCGAGGTCACCTTGCTTTGTAGAGTCAGGGTGCTCAATGGCATCGAGAACTGGACAAATGTATCTTACAAAATCGAATGGTTTGCTGAAGGAGAATCATTGCATAGTGAATCTCTAAGCGAGGAGGAAATATGCGGGGGTCTTCCCAATGGGGCGGTAAATGGTCAACCTTGTCCGGGTGAAGCTGGGGAGCTTGTTTCCAGACTGTCAGGAACGCAGTACAAGATTGGACAGTGGGTAAGATCAGAATAACACGGATTATGTATCCTTTAGAAAAGTATGTTCCTTTTACCGCCTCCCTTAGAGTAATAATTTCAAGCAAGTCTTGAAATCTCGAAATGCGCTGCTACCTGGGCAAACAATAGGTTATAAATTTCCGCTACCTTACCTTTAAAATAAAGTAAGCTAATCTAAATAAAACCTCGCACACAAATTAGCATTTTCTGTAATTTTTAACTTTGAGAGCTCAAAACATCACCGAAAACCTACGGTTATCTGCTACTAGAGGACTAAAAGGCTAAGGCTTTGATCAAATATGTCACTACCACCAGATACGTCCTCCATTGTTTCTTTGAAAAGATTTGATCCTTTAAAGAACACTTAAGAGTCTGTCCGCGTAAGAAAGGATAATGCAAACTACGGACCTTCTGCGACTGGCGTCATTTTTTTTTTCAGTGAAAGTCGTCCATCATATCCAATCTACATATACAGCAGTATTTTTTATTTAGCCTCATCAAATTTCAGGCCAAATATCGTTAACAGCGGCTAGAAATATCCGTTCAGTTGCAGTTCTAAGCCCTAATGATCCCTAATTGATGCGCCTAAAGCTCGTTGCTGTCTAATGCAACAACAGACAAGCATCTCATCTGATCAAAATGTATCCTACCTTCAACTTAACTTTGATTTCTTGTTATCAACAGATATCTTGCACTGTCTCGGCGAAATTTACCACTTCACCGAGAAACGTTTGGTCAAAATCAAAGGTTATACGAGAACCATTCTTTGTAGGAATTCAGGTAGTATTTTTTTCTTTGCTTATTACGGGACCAGTTCATTTGCTTCCGGTACACTGCTTGATATGTAATCACGCCAGCGAGAGAGATGCTCGGTAGTAAAGCAGGAAGTAGAGACGAATTCTTCTCGAGTGTGAATAAGTAGCAATGAAACATTTTTCAAAGAAAAAGAAAAGAAAAGAAAAGAAAAATAAAAAAAGTCGCTGTTTCTTGGAAAACTGTTTGCCAGTTTTAAAATCAATAATTCGTTGCATAGTTTTAATAGTAGGCGTAAAATTTTGAACCCANGCAGCTTGGGGTCTTATAACCAAGACCGTACGGTATCTTTACTCGACATTCATCACTACAACATGACAAAATGCAAAAATATTCACTTGTAAAGCTACAATTTCTCTGATTTATCCATAGCGCATCAACTTTTATTTGACCGAAGTCCCACACAAGTTCGCATCGCGGACCTATTTTTTTAGAGCGCCGGCAATATGTGCTATTTTTGCAGTTTCGGCAGGCACGCAACTTGTGTCGAGCGGACCGAACTTCAATCAATCCCAGAAAAATTCAAATAGAATTTTTAATCAAATAAAACTCATTTTAGTGATTGACTAGGTAAAGGCTTCGAAATCCCAGCTTATGAAAAAAATCGAATTTTCGAAGTCAAATCAATGGTCGGTTCTTACAGAGACAGTCTCTTCCATGTGTACTTGGTTGATTTTGGGGTTGATTTTGGGTGTAAAATAATTGAATTTCGACGGCATGTATTTCATTCACTTAAAAGTGGTTCGTGAATATAATTAATTTTCATCATGTGCGAAATTAAACCTTGAAATGGATTAAGTTTCAGGTGGTTGAATCGTAGAAGGATGGTCTACAGATTCCTGTAAAAATTTCTTTGGTCAAATGATAGTGAGCGACGCGACTTTTTCAAATTACGCTAAAAATGCAAGTATTTGACCTTCCGTCGTCAAATTTCAATTTACGGGATAGACATATATTTTAGCATGCGCCACATGTCGTGACCTTTATTAAATTTCGAAATGTTCTAACCTTATTTGCTGTAAAAGGCAGGTCCAAAAGGCGATTTAACGTGTTTCTCTCACCATTCGTCGCATATGAATCAGTCAAGTTTGCTTCTGTTTACATAACGTCCGATGTACATATCATCGCCAACTGTCAACGTATTCAGTGGTCGAATACCATAAATCTGTGATCATCTTTCGGCGCATATGATCAACGCTGTATCTAAGTCAAAAACACTAAGTCATTTGTAAATAGTTACTTGCTTTGTACTACACCAAAATCGTTATCGCAAAAGACGCTAAAACAAATTCAGCCAAGTTGTAAAAAATTCTTACGACTTCGTTTTGTGTTGGTTTGATTTCGTGGAAGCTGTGAAATTTAGAGACTCAACGAATTTTCGGATAGTGTTCAAAATGTCAGGGAAAGGAGTTGTCTCCCTTGTCAGTACATTGGAACTTCTATTGAGCGCTACCCTTTATAAAGCGGCCAGTTATCAAAGTCCCGAAATGTCAGTAAAATACTTTAACTGGAAAACCCCTATTAAACGGCCACCTCTAGCTCTATTAATTAAACGGCCACGGCCACCTTTTGGTCGTCCCGATAATGATTATCCCATCCTAACTTACCGCGGGCGTTAGCGCTAGAATAGTAATCAGACTTGGTGATAACCCTAATGGCGCTATTCTGTAGTTTTTGTAATTTGTCGGCTAACTCGTTGTTGAGACCGTTCCACACAGGACAACAATAATCAAAATATGGTTCGATAATAGCTCTACATGGCAATATAGCTGTATCTTCGCAAACGACTTTGGGGACCTTACAAATTCAAAATTAAAGAAGTTCACTTAACGTTGTTTTATTGTCATATTTATGGGCTGGTGATCAGACACGATGTATCTTTTTACCTCAAATTAGAACACTTTTGATCATCTGCTTGACATGTCTCCAAAACATTAGACAGTCGAACCAAACTGTTTGATTTGCTCAGTCGCGTGTAACAAAGACATTAGAATTCATTATCGTCTGTAATTGCGAAATCGCCTCGACTACGCGAGGCGGGAAAAATAGGTCATGTGACTTAAGTTTAAAAAGGAAAAACTCATCATGTAACGACATTCGAAGCCAAATCATCAACCGTAGTAACCGTAAGCAACAAGATAGCGAATCAAAGAGATCTAACGACTCAGGAACACAAATTGTAAGTTTCAAAATCGTTTGTCGCTTCGATTGAGAATATTGTAAATAGTAATTCATCTCTTAATCATTTCAATTTCAGTTGACTACGATGTAACCACGGACGCAACGAGCCGTGTAAACTCTAGTTCAAATAAGTCTGACAACTTTGATCCCTGGTGGGCTAAACTTCAAAATAAGTAGCACCTTCAACCATAGAAGCGAATCACTGTTGTACATGGTTAATGTACTGGTGAAGTTGTACAAGTGTGCCAGATTTCAGGGCAATCGGTGATGTGCACTGTAGACGACCGTCTACATGGTCCTCAAATGTATTCTCTCTTAACACGACGCTATTCTAATATAAATGTATATGCCAGTTTTGTCACTTGTTGTTTGAATACTTCGACACAATGAACATTGTCGGATTATCTTTTATTCTCTAAGATGGGTTTTGTTGTACTTTTCCTTAAATCTACTATTTGTTCCAAGAAAAGTGAACTACAATCATAAATCAGAAATGGTGGATGTCGTTTTAGAGGAGAATGTTGTAACGACACATTAATCTTTCTATACATGCATATGTAAAAACATCTGTGCAGTTAAAAACAGTTAATATGGTGTTTTTCATATAGGTGCAGACAAGACAATGGGCTTGCAACACAGACAAAACTGTAAGTTGCAACTGTGGCGCCGTTTTAAGAGATCATAACGATGTTATCGAGTTTAGCTGTTGCAACGACCTCCTGACTCGCGACTTTATAACCCCTATAACAGTCAAAATACGGAGCAAAAAGTGCTTGGCACCTGGGATATCTATAAAGAACATTATACAGGGAGTAAATGGCGAGTACGAGGTAAGTGCATTTGTGAAAGTTGTGATTGAAATTGAAATTGAAAAAGGATCTACTATAGTTCCAGAGAATAACATCACTGGACCAGGTAGGAAAGCAGAAGACAGGGAACAAAGGAAAGTGTAACCGGTTGAGTACCACTATTTCGAGCTCTCAAGGGAAAATGGCAATGGCTTAAAAAAAAAAGTGGGGATTCGAAATGAACTGATCAGCATTCAATAAGAATGGATTCTCGGATAGCGGAAGCAAAAATCTTTTTTGTTTGTTTGTTTGTTTGTTTGTTTGTTTGTTTTGTTTTGTTTTGTTTTGTTTTTGTTTTTGTTTTTGTCTTTGTTTTTTTTTCAGGGAGTTCGAAAGAACTGAGTCCGAAATAACAGAAAGTCAATGAACACAAAAGGCCAAATTCAGGGCAAAGGGGTTGGAGTAAGAAATCAGGGGGAATCGAAATGACTAAAATTCGGGCTAGTGGGTTCCAACTGTATAAATATCCAGGAAAATTACACAAAACTCTACATGCGTTCAAACATAATGTCACTTTTATTACACTAGACTGAGTTTGTGCAGATTAGGGACACGGCTGTCTTTGATAACATTTTTTTTCTCATAATAATTCAACTTATTATGATTTTTCTTTTTGTTTATTTAGCTATTTAATTGAATGTGCATGCGCCATTTCATGACAATATCTTATTGATTATAGGCCACTTATTATAACATTATTCTATTTCCCTGCATTACCGCTGAAAAGCAGGCAAAGAGAAATAGAAAACATGTGCCGTGTTTCTATCGAGTTTAAGTAGAATTCTACTAGTATACTAATGCAAATGCTGTAATCTGATTGGCTGAGCCATTTACCACTATCAGCCATTGGTGTGCAGTGGCTGGAGGTCGTCTAGGAAATGGTGACGTTTTTTTCCGTTTATCCACTGAGTTTTGGAGGAAAATTTTGATGCAAATGCATAATTAAATTTTTGCGAAGTTGTTGACTCTTAAAAAGTTGAAATTATTGAAAAATCTGATGCGCGCGCGC